CTATGCAGGCCTAGTCCTATAATTGGCTTAGGCAGTTCGCCGCCTACAGCATGCTTTGAAGACCCACCCCCCCCACTTTCTCTGTCGGCCTAAGCCCTAGGCCTAGACCCTGTTTATATTTATTAAAAATACATTGTTTACAGTTTATATACCTACAATATTCTGCCTACATTCTTTACTGTTTGAGTGCAATAGACGCGTGGAGCAGCAACACTAATATAGTAATATAGGCCTAACTAGGCCTTAAATGGTATAATTTGAATCGGCCATATTAGACAATTCAGCCAGCACGGCCTAAAAATGTTGATGTTTTAACAATCACTAGTATCTAAATTACCAAACTGTTCACCAGGATTCCCATGAAAAATTAATTTAACCAAAATATGGAACAGCAAATTAAACTTACATTTCTACACTGTCGATGAAAGAGATATTTAATGAAAACTTGTCATATTTGGCCCAACTTTGACAACCAAAATCAGCACACCGTTCACTCTCGAGAGTTGAAAAACAACATGCTTTCTCATTTAACAGATATACTAACTGTCTCTTATACACATCTAGATGTGTATAAGAGACAGCAGATATACTAATGAATATTCATCATTCATTCATTCGGATCTCTATCCTTTTGTAGGTCACTGGTTGGTTTTTAAATGGCACTATATGCCCGATTAAACTTCCGTACGTCACACGTGGATTCGCGTGTAACTGTTTGAGAATTATAGCTCCACATGCGCCGTTCAACCGTTGGGGGCGCTTGACTTAATTTGTATTACTGAAACAGCTGTGTTACCTGTCAGGAACTTACCTTGAAAATAATGGTATCTTCAATAATAAATAAGAGAATTTTCTATACATTTTTTACTTTGTAATAATATTAATTTCTTTTTCATCCAGTACATTGCAGCTGCTATAGTAGTGTTACCTAATATTCTTATTTACTCAATACAAAATAAGACATATATAATATTTGTACCTATTAATATTCTTCTAATCAGGTTAGCCTGTCGTTCAGTAATGAGGTCGTTGAACCCGGTGACAACATTAATGTTGACGTTACAGCAACCAAAGGATCGCTTATTTACCTCTTAGCAATCGATCAGAGTGTTTTACTTCTAAAATCTGGCAACGACATCACTCAACAAAAGGTAACAGCATATAATAGTGATAACAATAATAATTAAAATGCCAGCCCCGTAGCCAAGGGGCCATTCTTACTTTTATAATTACCAAAAACAGTTATTGGGGGGAAATATTAGGGAAATCTGGTCAATATTGAACACCTAATGACATAACGGTATCATCCAAAGATTTGTGTTTCCCACAGTTGGTATTCGCTTTGATGTGAAAAGAAGTGCATATTCATCCCCATATCCAAAGGGGGTTGGGGGCAGGGGCCTTTCAAGCTTAGCTCCAACTGAGGTGGGCGTGGCTCTTCTAATATTTGACCCCCACTGATCAACAGGTGTAGCTACAGGGCTGTAAAATACTAATAATAATTTATGATAACTGCAATAATAGATAACAATTCTTTCTATTTATGCATTGATTTTATGTAAAATTTTTAAAATTAGGTCTTAAAAATCTCTTTGATAACTTAGAATATTCCTAAAAACAATTTATAGTTTCAAAACAATTAAAGCCCCTTTCAGATAGACGTTGCTGCAATATTGCGGTAAGCATCCCGGCATAATAACTGGTCTATACTGGTAATCCTGTGCTTTTCTCTCCGAAAGGGTCCTATAGAATATTGGCGTTTTAATACCACCGCACAATTGTTTTCAACTTTAACCTTGTTTGTTTGTGCATAAATGCACAAGCCGGCTTGATTGCCGCAATATCGAGTAGACCCTTTCAGACGGAGCAAGGTGGTAACCGTTACCGCAATATTACTAGGGTGTGATGTGGCCTAAAGTATACAGGCATATTGGCGTGTTGGCCCCTTCAGACAGAAACCCATGCCAGCATGCTTACCGCAATATTGCGGTATTGCAGCTCTGTCTGAAAAATGGTAAATTTCATAAGAATGGAATCTACATACTGTTTATATACTGAATTAAGTGATGCATATCTAGAATATGTACCAATAGCCCAAAATATACACCAATGACCAAATTAACACAAGATCCTTGAAATGGAAAGCACATGATGCGAAAGCACATGCTTCCGAACTTTGACTGTTTTATGGTCAATGACAGCTATGTGTCTTCCAACATGAACTTTCTTTGTCTTCTCTGGATCTGGATGTGTACTCCTCAACGCCCCTAAAAGGAGCAAAGCGAGAAGGGGCGTTCTGTATTCCTTAGGGGGTCGGATATAGCAATCTTGAACATGAAGATGGCTAGTTGAACAAAAGTAAGATTGCAGATTATAATTTTCAATGAATATGTTGCAGGTCCTTAGAGAATTGAAAACCTTTGATAAAATGGATGATGAGGATACAGTTGATGGTCCAATATTATTTGATTGGTACTTTCCATACCCAACTTCAGGTACAACTGCTGAAGATATCTTTGAAGTAAGTATACAAGTTCAGTGATAAAAATAATAGATTTCACCATTTCCCTCATGTTTCCCTCAATATTTGTATACTGTGCAATTTGCTATCAAATTATTAGATGGGTTGTGGTTAGTGTGGGAAACACTTGGGTCCCAGAGAAAAAAGTTTGGGAAGCGGCACTCTGTACAATAAAAATATATGTCATATTGATATGACTTTGACCTCTTTATTGGTGTCATGGTGCTGAAACTCATATTTTCGCAATTTCAAATACACAGGCCACAAGTCTCCCAGAGTCACGGGGTGGAGTCTTTTGAAAATTAGGACAGCCCTCACACACACCCATACACACACACACCAGGTCAAACAAAAATCTTGAAAAGTAACCCAACTCACATAAACTGATGATACATGCATGTTTTTACCCAGTCAGCCGCAGGTGACTAGAACTGAGTGTTCTGATTTTTTTTTTTTTTTGCAAACGGTTGGGCTGATTTCAATCAAACCTGGTTAATAGTAAAACCGCCAACACCTCCCATACCTTGGGTGTTCACACCTTGGGGTCAAAGTTAATACAGGGGTCATTAGGGTCAAAACTCCCAGAATCAGTAAAGGCTACTGTCACATATAACATCCTTTTGTCCTTTACACATATGCATTGGCATAAGGCTATGGTTTTCAGAAATTTGGGGTCAAAGGTCATTAAATGGTCATTCTAATTTTTTCTGGCAACATTTAAAATGCTAGTAGTGGCAAATGATTAGGCAATTTCAATCCAACTTGGTCAGTAGACCGGCGACACCTTCCATACATTAAGGAGCTTATACGACGTCGCGACGCTAGAACAGAATCACTCATGCGTGACCGTCCTACCTGGCGTCCATACGTTCTCTGTGTACGTAGATTTGGCCGAATTACGTTCCAGAATCTACTCAACGAGGTGACATTAACGTTCTCGTCTGTGCAGATGACTTTTAGTGACGTCATTACGTTCTACGTCCTACCGTCGTCGTGCAATCGAAAGCGTCTATTGGGTGTTCACAGCCTGGGGTCATAGGTCACACAGGGGTCATTATTGTTAACCCCATTTGAACATTTCAAAATTTTCCAATTGTGTGGCGCCGCACAAGCATTTTCCCGTGCAAATCATTTTTTTACATATTTTGGTTTTCTGACACTGTAGGCCTATTTTCACAAATTTTTATTCTTTTTCAGTCATTTTAGTGCCAAATAATAATGCTGTACGCGTGTTTGTGTCGACATACAGTAAAAATATGCCAAAATCATGCCTATTTTTAATGAGTTATAGCTTCTTAGGATGCATGGTGACCCCCAATTTTTATTATATTTTATGAAAGCACATGTAAATATGATTTTTTAGTAGTTGATCAGACATTGTGACCATATTGCCATCTGAATTCAAAAAACTGAATTTTTATCTATGACGTCATAATTTTTATACTAATTTGAGCATATCTCATTTATACTTGATCGATCGACTCCCAATTTTCAGTATGTTATAGCTAAGACAATTTTCTTTCTTAAGTTTTAGACCATTTTGAGACCATGTTCGCACTGTGAAAAACTGTCAGTTCCTGCGTATTACCTAAATTCATCAGTGACATATTAATTAAATCTAGTTTAAATTGTCCTTCTGTCACAAATGACATAGCAGAGTGTAGTCCTTGCCACATACATGTATGCATTGGCATGAGGCAGGGTCTTTAGGGTGTTAAAGTCAATAAGGACCATTCTTTCTGGCAACATTTTATAATGCTATGGCAAAAATTAGGAATGATTTCAATTAAATTTAATCAGTAGAATCGGTGACACCACTCATACAAGGGGTTTTCAAAACATGGGGTCAAAACCCACAAAAATTAATTAAAGTTTACTTCTGTCACAATAACATAGCTCAGTCTTGTCTTTGAGCTAAGCCACCGGATAAAAGAGAACGCTCACCCTTTGTGTGTTGATAGATAGTGAGAGTGAAGTTCAAAGGTCAAATTTTCAACATGATCCTATGAACTCAAATTTACTTGAACCATTTTATGTACTGAAGTATGTATTAATATTTACATGAATTGCATACTCGCAGCATTTTACTTTCTATTAGAAACTGCTAGTTATATTGTATTATTAATTGACTCCTGGAAGTCAATGGCAATGGGTATCACTACACATAGTAAATAAAATTAAATATAAAGCTCCTTTAACTAAATGTCTCAAAAGTAGCTTCCCCTTCCATCTTAAGGACCCCTGCAAATGTGAGTATTAAGGCCTTTGGTAAATTAAATTATAAGGTTTTTTTTTATTTATTTACATGAATATTATATATCGACATTTTGAAAAAAAATGTAATCAGAAATCTTGCGTCTTGTATCTTACTTGTATTTCTTAGAATTCTGGGGTTGTGGTGTTGACAGATGCTGAGATACCTGGCCCTCCAGAGGTTTTACTTCATGGTGAGGTTTTCAATATATTTGTAATACTTGAAATACAGTACTTTAAAGTAACAATTTGTGTATGTTATTTTTTACAAATTAGTTGCCAAATAAGAGTGTTCGGGCCACTGTATTTGGTATGAATTTTCAACACGTTAGTGTTAGCCGTCAAATAAAATGTTTTGATTAAACTTTTTACCACCATCACACTTTCTCAACTGAAGCTATCTATAAAAATTGGTCTACACATCATTTGTCATCACAATTGAAGGGGTCTTGACAAAGACAGAATGGTGTATCTTCTTTTAGTTTAATAGTTCTCTTTTATCGAAACTAATCATAAGTGAGGAAAGAAACCTCACCCTCTAGTTTTAATATATCGATTTTGTAAGTTCAGCTTTTCAGCTTTTTTTGTTGGGTGTGTTTTATACCTGAATATATCTGAATATATATAAATGAATAAATAAATGAAATAGTTATATTTCTGGAATGAAAAGCTTTGGTTCAATTTCTAGCAGAGGGAGGTAAAACAGTGAGTTTTACCACCATCTGCTTTGCATTGCTAGATAGTTCAGTCCATCTAACACCACAGAAAGTAGAATTCAAGTTGTATCTGTATAAATTTCTTTTAAGGCATATCTCACATCATTCGACCACTTGGCGTTAATCCTGGTTTGGCATTTGGAGTAAATCCTGAATTTAGTGTTGATACACATTCTTCCGTAGAATTATTATCTATATCAACATCCATAGAATTGGAGGAAATATCTTCAGTCACAGATTCTCCTGTGCGTACAGTGTTTCCGGAAACATGGCTGTGGACAGATACAGCTGTCGGGTAACAAATTGAGCTTAATCTCATCTTTTTACAAGTTAAATCTATAATTTTTGAGTATGAGATATTGCAAAAGATTAGGCCAACCCAGACAGCATTGTATGATGCAGCTTGACACAATTTCTTGCTATGTCGGGTCAGTGTGAGGTAAACGCTGACACAATATGTGAGTGTCAGTGACTGTAGCGTTGTAGAATATTAAACGTATTTAATATCCTCATAATGACTGAAAGACTGGCTTTCGTCTGCGTCATTCAATATTGTCTGAGTTGGCCTTTAGCACCTGCCTTTAGGAAGCGTATAATTCCAAACAATGTGGGAGCGGTTTGGCTCAGCGGAAACGGTTTGGTTTCCCAACCTCGAGGTCGGGGATTTCAATCCTTCGCTTGGCCGTCCTGAGACAAAACAACATAACTGACATTTTTGTCGATTTTGAGATACTATCATTTGGGAGTACTGTATATTAAACACGTCTGAATTATCTGTGAAACTTTCAGGTCTCAATAATGAGTCATTCGGAAATAGCACGTCCACTTACCTTTAAGCACAAAACTTAAAATCTAGTGATTTTTTGGGGCAAAACAACGTAACTACAAGATTACGCAGCAAAATAAAGTATCTTCGATGAAGATACATTGTTTTGCCGCGGAATGGTATTCAAAAATGGTCTTGAGCCAATAAAGTTTGGCAAGGCAAAATCAAATGGTTATTGGTGTTTTTATATCAATAATCTTAAACAGCGATGTATGAACAGGCTAGGTAATGCATATGATTACCCAAACATGGCAAAACAACGTATCTGTAATTATCACTAATAACTTTGCAATAAACAAATGGTTGTAATTAAAATTTTAAATATAATCACAATGTCTATGGATATACAATCATGCAAAATTTTAAAAGGCTACGACAATTTATTGCAAAGTTACGAACATGCAAACTTTAACTCAATTTTTCTTCAAAAGTGAAAATTTAAAGTTACGTCGTTTTGCCACCGAATGGCCACGCTGTGCATTTCGCTTATGTCCTTGAGCAAGGCACTTTATCTGTGTTGCTTTTTTCTACCCAGAAGCATAAATGGTTACCTGGTGGGTTTGTCTGCTACTGTGCCAGTATGGCAGCAGTTAAGCATGTACTGGACCCAATAACCAGGGAAAACAAAGCGCTTTGTAACCTAAAGGCACTATAAATATCAAGTAACACATAAACAGTGATATAATATTTTGCAAGAGCATTGCTGCCCTGGTCATTGAATGGAGTACTGTTTTTCTGGGAATCCGGGGTATAACTGGTAGTGTGAAAGGTATTTTTATTTCATGTCACAAAATCCCTACCACCAGTTATAGTCTTCTCTGATAAAGACTATAATCTGTAGGCCCAATTAATGTACATAATTTGGCTCATGTGCACTTTATAGAACCCAGTAAATTTTTCGAGATGAGTAGGGGTTACCCCGGTGTATTGGTCCATTCAGCACCTGCTGTGGACAGACGAGAGCAGCTGTTTACCAGGTTGCTCAGACACAAAGAGACTCTTAATGGAGAAGCAATTTCTGTAAGTCCACACATTGAGCGCTTTGAGACCGTTCTGGAGTAAAGATGTAAATTTAATTGCATTACATTACCCATTTATTCTCTAGGGTAAAGAGAGGCAAATGTAGGTGTAAAGTGATGGTAATATTTATATGGTCATGCGTTTTTATAGCGCATTCCACAATAAAAACTCTTATTAAGGCACAAAACCACTAAAATTGATGAAAAGGCGCAAACGCGAAGCAGAGGAAGGTGCGCACTCTGATTATTAGAATAATTGCTTGAGAAAAATGAATAATAATTTTTGAAGTAATGTGGCTGTATGACTTTAAATAGGAATAAATGTGAGGATTTAACCTACTTCTGACTGTAATGTATTACTGTATATTGTGTAAATGTAACATTATTGTAAAATATTATCTCGGCCCCAAAATATCTGCAGTATCTAACATTTTGTTTTTTTTATTTTATTTTAGAGATGATGGAACTGTTTCTGTCACTGCTAAAGTTCCAGATACCATCACATCTTGGATTGGAAGTGCTTTTGCTTTGTCCAGTGATACAGGACTTGGAATTGTGCCAACTACATCAATGGTACATTCCCTCATTCTTTATTCTTACGTTTATCTTTTATTTTTGTTATCTTGTTTTCTGTTCATTCTCTTTCATTAAGAACATTGACCCATTATTTTCCAATCTCCTTGATGATAAAGAATTTAACTTAATTTGTTACCTGGAATATTTTGTTGCTAAATACACTTATAATTATTTTGAAAAAGTGTTTGATATTGATTGTAAGTTTCATTTCACTGTATATGTTGATACAGGTACATTATATTATTTATAGTTTGGATTTTAATAATTTGTGAGCCTTTGAAGTTAAAAATGACGAACGTTTTTTGGGGTATTAGCTGCCTATTTTATATATTTTACATATTAGGTTTCTCATTAAAGCTAGTTGTGGCTGGCCTTTCTTTTTTAAAGAGTGAGAGTTCAATACTAACTCACATCGCACACTAGATTTCGTTTTTGAAAACAAAAAAAGTTCATCAAAATTAGCGCATTTGGTTGTCAAGCACTTTTGTATTTTTGAAAACACAAAAAGTCTGTAACAATTAACAACAGTCAGACCTGCCAAGGGTCTCACACTGGCTTGCTTGAGATTTCTTGTGGATTTGCTTGAGATTGGGCATTTTTTGAAAATTATACGCAAGGTCACAAACCTTAAGGAAAATACAGTCAGGTATCGATAGAACATACACCTTTACTGTTAATACATTGATACAAAGTACCACTTTTATACCCCACTGCTGGGGCAGCATTGAACACTACATTTGTACATGTTGTTTGCTTTTTTTGAGAAAATGGTACATTAAAAAAATATAATTTGAAGAAATTCTGGAATGCGTGGGAATATGTAGGCCTCGCAACTGTAAATTCAAAAAATCAAATTTTGTTTTTGTTTTCTTTTATTTTAGGTGACAGTTTTCAAACCGTTCTTTGTTTCTTTAAACCTACCCTACTCAGTGATTCGAGGAGAAAACCTAGTTCTTGAGGTTTTGGTCTTTAACTACCAAACCACAGATATTGCTGTAAGTAATGATTAGAATTTTATATTATTAGTTAGGCCTACTTTTTACTTTCAAACTATTTATTTTCTGTAAGTGCTTAATACATTTTTTTTTCAATTTGGTATCATTTATATAAACAATTTTCTTTCAGGCTGAAATTATTCTTCACAAATCAACAGATTTTGATAATATTGAATTCCAAACAAGTAACAGCTTTGCAGACAATATCAATGAAGTTTATGTTAGCAAGGACCAGGTGAGTTATCAGTACTAGTATTTCAATATGTTAGCTGTAATTCATTTTTTTAATTACCTTTATCACCTTGCATCATTCTGTTTTTTCACAGCTTGTAAAAACAGTTATTCCTGCTGGAGATGGTGTGTCTGTCTCTTTTCCCATAATTCCCAAGAAATTAAAATTGATGGACATTGTTGTGTCGGCACAGTCGTCAACTGCCAGAGATGTTATTATAAAACAACTTCTGGTTGAGGTACTGTATTTGAATATTTCTAATAAATATTAATTATTTCTAATAAATTTATATTATAGGCCTTTATAAAATTTACGGAAAATCCTAAAAATATTAAAACATTGATTGTGTCATTTATAAGGGTGAATCCACAATGTTTTTGTTATGGGGATTGGCATGATGCTGGTGTGGTTGGTAAATCAGTGTTTTCAGTGGTCATAAATAAAAGTTTCAACTCAAACCCACGATCTCCAGATCACTAGCCTGGCATCATACCTCTAGACCACCGAGCTTGCGCCTGATGGCCAGGGTTGAATTTGAGTCCAAGTAAGCAGCGGGTACTGCAGTGTTGATAGTAATTGTTATTGTCGTGATGGAATAATAGACAATAACTGGATTTACGTCAGGAGAAACATGTGTAGGTGTAATTTTGCCCTACCTGACGTGGAAATGTACCGAATACTCAGTACATTTGAAAACAACTGCGAAAAAAATCGCAAGTTGTTCTCAGGTGGGACTCGAACACCCGAGAACAACTTGCGATTTTTTTTGCAGTTGTTTTCAAATGTACTGAGTATTCAGTATATTTCCACGTCAGGTAGGGCAAAATTACACCTATAAAGATTTCTAGGATTATTATTTTTTCTTGTAAAATTTGGATTTCTTTCCAAGAAGAAGTTTTAGACGACATATCCTTTCTTTTTAGCTTGAGTTGTAGTCTCTTGTATCGTTATGTCCACGCACAAGTCATTGTGCTCGGCGTGTGGGTCCCCAAACCGAGTATCAAACTCGATAGGCTATGGAATAGCTATATTATGTTTTGTGCATTTGTTAATTAGCAAGAAAATGTATTTTTGGTTGAAATTGTTAATAAAAGCTTTATACAAAAATTCAGTTATTTAAATATTTAGTTTTTGTAAGAAAATTGACTAATGGGGCGTTACAACTCGAATAGTAGATCATTTTACCTGGTGAAGATTTTTGGCCAGGTCAACCCTTCTTAGTGTCAGTGGTGGTGCCAGGATTTGCCCGATGGGGAGGAGGCTTGGATGTCCCAGGGGGTTGATTCCCCCCACAAAAAAAATTTATGAGTTTCAAAGGCTTATTTCATCGATTTTCTTTTTCTTCAACGAATTGTGGTTTTTCTCTCTGACGAGGGTGGGGAATGCCAGCCCTCCTCGACAAGGGGCCCTAGCCCCAGGCTCCCGCTGGCGCCACCCCTGCTTAGTGTCAGTTAAGGATATGTAGTGTCATGTCCTAGCATTTAATTTTGAAGTAATTTAACAGTGCGAGGACACAACAACCAATAGTAGTAAAATAACATCAAGTTGATGAAGTAGGTTCTAATTAAAATAAATATAAATAAAATAATAGAAAGTAAGTAGAAAAAAATATATATAGACATCCACTTTGTATAGTGAGTGTTTGTGCAATAAATTTTTTTTTTGTGGATTTTGTTTTATAATATTCATGATAATTAAAAAAAAAAAAGAAAAATAGAAACAAACTTTATGTTGTTTTTTGCCAGCCTGAGGGTGTTATGAATTCTTACACTGATCCAGATCTCATCAATTTATCAGGCGACATTTTTAAAAAATCGTTCCCAATTGAACTTCCTCCTGCGGGTCTTGTTGAGGGCTCTGTTCGTGTAGTACTCTCAGCAACAGGTAAGAAAATTTGATTCAGCTAATAAGATAAATTATTACCTCGACTGAGGAAGTTAGTGGAAACGGTTTGGCGCAGCAGAAACGGTTTGGCGCAGCAGAAACGGTTTGGTTTCCCAACCTCGAGGTCGGGGTTTCAATCCCTCGCTGTGCATTTTGCTTTTGTCCTTGAACAAGACACTTTATCTGCATTGCTTCTTTCCACCCAGGAGTATAAATGGGTACCTGGTAGGGTGGCCTGCTCCTGCGCTGTTTACCGGCAGCAACACAGCATGTGGACCCAATGACCTGGGAAAAGTACTGCACTTTATAATCGCAAGGAAGAGGAGCATTATAAATGCCTGTACCAGTACCAGTTGTAATCGCCACATTTTGTCATGCTGTCTGTGTGATAGTAGGATTATAATACTAGAAATGTTAAGCTTTATATTCTTACAATTAATGCAAAATTGAGTGATCATTTTTCTTTCATAGTTGACAAATCCTATGCTTTTGTATAGGAAAAAGGCTAAAATTGGACTGTTTTTAGGTATACTAACTGATTCTGCTTCACAACTCGGTACCATAAATCACTGAACTTTGGGGTAAACAGCCAAGCGTAGCTCATAAATTAGGCTTTCCTGTCATGTAGGTTTCATGCTGGGTTGGTTAAGTAACCGATCATTTTTCTTGTGATCATTTTTGTATTCAAAAATTGTTTTTTAACCTGTTTCGAGCATGCTCCCACACTTTAAGCCAATAGCAGATATATATTGTGTGTGGTCTGTGGTGAGTGCTTTCATGCATACAATGTATGTCAAATTTACCTGACTGAGCTTTTGCTGAAGATAGGGGTAAAGTTTTCATTATGACTATTTTTTATTTATTTTATACTCCTTTTATTTTATTTATGTATATTAGCTAAAATACAATATTTATTACCTATCAACGGGAGACAATGAATAATAAAAAAAATAAAAATAATAATTATTAGACACACATCAAAAATCTATTAATAATTAATAGCCTATTAGAATTTACAGAAAATAGCCCTATATCAAAAATAAAGAACTGTCTAAAGGAATGAAATTATATTAGAATATTAATAATCTTCGCAATTCTTATCTGTATTTTATTTTTCCTACTGATTTTATTAGGTGACATAATGGGTCCAACCATGAGCGGATTAGATGAGCTTTTGCGTGTGCCCTCGGGTTGTGGGGAGCAGAACATGATAGGCTTTGCTCCAGATGTCTTCATCTATGATTACCTTGAGAACACAAACCAGAATAACCTTGAGATAAAGGAAAAGGCTCTCCGCTTTATGAACATTGGTAATTTTTTTCCGATTATTCATTTTGAGGTCAAAAATATTTCTACATACAAAGGAAGTTTATGGATCTTAAGAAAGAGGGAGGCATGATTCTCCCTCTCCATTCTCCAGCTTAACTTGTAACTCGGTACATTATTATTGGTGTGTTTTTATCATTATCTTCATTAGTCATCATAATCGTCATCATTAGGATTTAATAGAGGGATTTAGCAATGGGCATCACATGACCTAACTTGGGTGTTGGATATAAAATGGAGATTTCTATTGCGGCCGTCCCTTGTTTATTGCTGTAAAGATCATCATAATTCCCAGTAAACTATACCAAATTGATTGAAAATCAAACTTAAGAATTTTGCCATGTTTTGCTGATGCTGTAAAGGATACTGGCCGCAAACATTGAGATTTTGCGACAAGTGTTAGGCATGCTTAGGTATGCATGATGGTCTTCGACCCGCAAACTACGCTGCGATGTTAGGGCCAGCGAAGGTTTATGAAGGATCACTTAAATTTCAAAGAATGCAATCCAAGGAGAATGCAGGATAAGTAAATAAACAATATTTTGAACAATTGTATTGCCTTTCCTAGCCATTTACTTCTCACGTTAACAGTGGGTGGTTTTTTCGCAACCATAACATTATCTTTTCCTATGCTATCGCACTGTAATGTTTTTCATGTATACCAAGTTAGGTCACGTGACCACCTGTAAACAATCATCGCTAAATCCCTCTAATAGATGAAGTTTAACCTAATTTATCACTGGCTAAGTCTGGGTAAAGCCTACCAAAGGCAGGGCCCCTGGTATATATAAGCAATTTTTTTCCCCTAATTCAGCTGAGCAGGGTTTTTTAAATAGCAAAAATATACCCATAAAATGTTATAAAAACACTGAAGTGAAGAAGGCTTTGCCCTGCCTTAGGAATAGTAGGGCCTGCAGAAGCCTTAGCCAGGGGCCTCAGGCCTCTTTTGTAACACACTGATCAGCAATATTCTGAGGCATTATAAATACCAAGTGAGCCACAGAAAATAAACATCTTAAGCAGCTCCAATACTATCCATTTTTCCAGGCTACCAGAAAGAGCTCACTTACCAGCACAAGGATGGCTCTTTCAGTGCCTTCGGTGACCATGATCCTTCTGGCAGTACCTGGTTGACAGCTTTTGTGGTCAAATCGTTTGTCCAGGCTCAAGAGTACATTTTCATTGATTACAAACTGGTGGAGAAGGCTGTTAATTGGATACTGATGCAGCAGAATGAAGATGGATCATTCCGGGAACCAGGAAAAGTCTGTCACAGAGATATGCAGGTTAGACAATACCTAATTTGCCTTTACAATAAAACTCTGTAGATTGGCAGTCATTTTAATCACTAAGGAATGTATTTGTTCCTGATGATGACAAATTAATGTCAAAATATTTAATCACTAAGCTATTCAACTCCACTCCTGTCTTTAATTAATGTCATATTCTTATAGGGAGGTTTATCTGGACCAATTACCCTTACAGCGTATGTGTTGGTGGCCTTACAAGAAGCTAAGCATGGGAATGGTTTCTCTCAGGTAAGTCTGATGTCAAAGATCATCTGTCCACACTCTAAAAATGTATGTGACAAATTTGTGTGATATGTTCATATATGGGCATCGTGATGTCATATCTACGACATTTATTTGCCACATGAATTTTATAGTGTTGACAGAGCTAAGTATTTCCATTTGTAAAATTGTATTTATTACATCATGCAATTTGATTTACTAATGGTAATGGTTGGAGACTTATATAGCGCATAATACATGGTGTCCATGAAAGAAAAACAGAAAATAAAATCTATTCTAGAGGGTTCTAAGCGAACCAAGCTAAAAAAAACAACCGAAACAGACTGACTCAGAAGGAACCAACACTATCGCACCGTTCACCCGCAATTTGAGACCACCAACAAGCAGTGGTGAGCAGGTACATGACTCGCAGGTGCTCGAACAGTGTTGGGATCTGGTCCAGCCTATCCTAACAACAAAAGTGAAAAATTAACAGAAAACAGAGACAAATTAGATTAAAAAGGAAGGAAAAGGTGTGATTTAAGGCTCTGCTTCAAAACAGAGAAGACTCCCGAATGTAGATTGGAAGTTCATTCCAGAGCTTAGGAGCCGCAACCCGATAAGACCTCTCTCCGTACTATATTTTGAATCTACCCAAATGTAGGCATCAAAACCCTGGCACATACTGTCCTGGAAGCATCTGCACGCAGTGTAGACATTTATGACGGCTGACAGTAAATTTAAATTGACAATTTTTTTTTTCCATTTCGTGTCACCAGCAAAATATTTGTTATTGTTTCACATCAACTTGGTCATGCAATTATGTCTCAGGCAAGGCCTATATTATAGCGTGTACTGTCAATAAATTTTTATTTTTACCCTCTTCTATTGGCCTTTCAAACATTTTTCTCACAAGGCCTACAATTTAATTAGACTATGAACAAAATCCAAATACAATATAAGACTTGCTCAGACGAATAGCAGACATCGTAATAAGTAAGGGCTAACAAACAGCCCAGGTACATTGTTTACTGGGGCAGCTTGAAGGACAGAATATAATAAGGTGTCACACCTGATGAAGCTGGCATTGACTGCCAGCGAAAATTACATCTTAAAGTTAGTCTGAGGGTGCTGCCTCATTTCCTGTTATCACTACCTGTTCAGACTAACACGGCTCAACTATTGTATTTTTACCATAATTTAATTTTAGTGATTCTTATAATAATTGATGCTTGATAATAAATAGTGTCAGTGCTCAAGCTTAATCATTTTATGAATGTATTTCTTCTTTGCAGACTACCTTGAACTTACTCAGCGTTTCAGTTAACAGTGCTGCATCCTACATTAACTCTGAGTTTTCCAACTTCAACTCTGACCCATATGTTTTGGCTATCACAACCTATGCCCTTACATTAAGCAAACATCCAAATAAAGATGAGTTCCTTGCTGCATTAGAAGAGCTGGCAGTCGTTGAAGGTAAACATTTTCACGCATCTACACTTTTATAAAGCCAGATGATTATTGTATAATTCTTTTTCTGTGAATGATGCATTTTATGTGAGTAAATTTTTATATAGTTTTTATAATTTTGGCCCTTTAAAGATGTATTGTCCCCTGAAAATGACAAAAAATAATATAATTAATTTTGAAATTAACTTAAATTGAATTTAACAAAAAAAAAAAGTGTGCCATGATATTTGTACTGGTAATAATAAATTAATAACACTTCCAGTGACTGGACTGTTTCTATCATTTTTTTGCTGTAAAATTATGTCCACAGTTTGTTAAATAGACTAATTTCTATGTTCAAGTTGATAAATATTATGTTACTTCAAAAAGAGCAAGTTAATGGTTTTTTTTGTATTTTGCATGGGACAATGCATCTTTAAATCTTTATTTAGTAATTTCATGCTTTTATTTTAATGAGAGAATGAATCACCTGCATACCATATAGAATTAATTTTCCATTGAAGTAAAAACAATAAGATATATATTTTAATTTGTATTAATATTTATTTGTAATTGGTTTTGTAGATGGTATGAAACATTGGAGCCGTCAAGAGGTAACTGTAGATGATAACCAAAAGTCGGGTTGGTTTCGACCATATGGTAAACCGCCCTCTTCGGATATTGAAATGACAGCCTACGGACTTCTTGTTTATCTGGCTCATAACGATGTCTTCGCAGGATCATCTATTTCAAAATGGTTGACTAAACAACGAAGCGAACTTGGTGGATATTCTTCGACACAGGTACAGTACTCTGCCATGATTTGGAAAAAGGCATTAACTCCAAAATCCTAGTTTTGAGTTATTGAGCAAAACGCATTTGTCGTTAGCCTTTTGTACTGGAAATGAATTCTAGTAATTTTTTTGGCAAATATACTAAACATATAATTAAAAAACATATTAAATAATTTTCATCGTGATTTTTGTTCTTTAACCCTATTTAAATGGAGATAATGCACTATTCCAAATTTTAACAGGAGGCAATGGTGCGTGAAAAATCTGAAGTTAGGCATTAACTCCTGTTTTTCCATTGAAATGTGTATCTTACGTAGCCAAATTACAGTATTTCTGACAAACAAATAATGTATGCCAGTGTCAATTATATATTTCATGAAATTTAGTCCATATAAGTTAAAATTAATATTATAGTATAAATTTATAATCAATTTAGGAGTCGTCATTGTATTGTACACGTATAAAAATAGATAAAATTATTATTATTGTTCAAATTAAGCTGCTATCATTTTTATATTCAATCAGAATACAATGATATTGTTATATGATGGTTATATTATTAAGAATAGTATTAATATACTTAGTAGAACCTCTAATTTACGTATACTAAATTTACAGACTTCTGTTTTACAAACGCGAAGTTACATATTTCGAATCTTCATATTATATTTACTAATCATGTAAAAAGTGCCCAAATACAAAAATTATACTTTTTAAAGCTATTATTCGAAATTAAAGACACTATTTGGTGAGGTAAATGGTTCTATAAAATGGTGTGGTAGATAAATAGAATCTAAATGAATCAAAGTTAGACGAGTTTTAGGTTTTCTCTTTTATTTGTCAACATCATTTTACCAGCATTGAAGATAATGAAATATTATTTTCTTAATTTTTTTGTGATTTTATTACTTTAACAGCTTTGAAGATAATAAAATATTCTTTTCTTTATTTTTATTGTGATTTTATAACTTTTATCAGCGTTCAATATAATGATATTTTCTGTATTTTATTGCGATTATTGGCCTGATTTTTCACTCAATTATCTATCAAATCAGCAACATCACCAACAGGCATGTTCCTCTAAAAGGCTTTTCTATTCTCGCTCATTAGTGGTAGAAGATTTTTTAATATGCCATATTTTTTAAACCGAAGTAAAGCTAGGCATTATGTGCATTTACAAGCTATCATGACTAATTAACTATGCGTAATTGTCTTCTGTGATTGGTTCATTATGACCAGTTCATTGTTTGGTGGAGATAATGCCTTCTTCCAAATTATTCTGCATTCATGGATTGGAGTTAATGCGTAAATATAATATTTATTTCATATTTCTGGACATTTTTTGGGGTATATGATCAATTCACATGATAGATTACATCTATAGGATGCCATAGAAAAAAAAATCCAAAAATCTCAAAAAGTGGGGTTAATGCCTTTTTCCAAATTACAGCAGTACTGTTGTGCTTCTATTCTTAAAGCATGTTTTGGTGTTTGAACTTAGCTTAGAATAGTAGAGATGCAAGTTTTGATTTATGACTCACTTTTTAGTAAACATTGTAGGAAAAGTTAATTGCAATAAGAAATTGTGTTTATAAATCTGCCCAATCTTTGGTGTTTCACTGAAGATTTGTTTTGTGTTTGAATGTCTGTGTTTCTGTCTACATAATTATATTAAGTTGTAAGTGGTTTCTTATTTTTCATGTACAGACAGACAATACATAGTACAATAGAACAAATTGGAGCAACAGTTTAGAAAGTTTGATTAAACAATATAGGGTCTCAATAATAATCTTTCATTATGGCCTTGTTATTGTTGGTGACCATTTCATTATTTTCTTTTCCTTATACTAGGATACTGTTGTTGCTCTGCAAGCTCTATCGTCCTATGCTAGTGAAATAAACTTGAGCAGAGGGGGAATTACAATAGCAGTAACAGCAACAGAAGATCCCTCATATGAGCAGACTATAACTATCAACAGTGACAATGCTCTTGTATTCCAAAAATTGGAGGTAATTATTGACATATAATAATTAGCTAAGATGGGTCAGGGGACTGCTTAAGTAGGCATAGCTGACAAAGTAGGTGATATAATGTGCCAAATTCAAGTGTGGAAATCTTGTCAGCATTTTGCGCTATCAAATGGAAGCAAAACTCTTCTGGAAATAAAGCCATCTCCTGCAAAATATTCCTATCCTTTTACTAATGTATTATCAATTTTCTCTAGGAAGTCAAATGGTGATGGGTATTAACCAGGCATAGTGGCATAAAGTTAGATGAATTAAGGAAACTTGGGACCTCTGGTTAATTAGAGTAACCTCTTGTGAGTAAACAAGTGAAGGTTTCCGTCACCATTTCTTCAGTTTGCTATAACACAATTCTTTCATTACTCTATAGAAACATTTTTTTTTTTTCAAGGTTCCTGTGACAACTGGCTCAGTTAGTGTATCAGTATCTGGCAGTGGTTCCGTTCTGGTCCAGTTCACGGTTTCCTACAATGTGGAAGAGGTTGTCCAGGTGCCGGCATTTGATGTTAATTTAACAGTGACCAACGATGATTTGAATAGCATACAGGTTGAATGTTGTGGACAGTAAGTTTAATCATCTCTTTAAGCAATTTTATAAGTAGTTCAATATTTATTTTGCAACAGATTGCAAGAGAACTGGCCACAAGCATTAACTCAGTAGCAAAAGTTATTAGCCTCCCCAAAGTAGTGAAGCTGTGGGTAAGTTTATTTGTTTGTATAAACACCACATAGGCACCTCTACTCTAGCAATGTTTAAAAGAGTTTGACTTTTTCTGAGTGTAGCTCATTGTCTAGTGGCATAGGGTATTGACTTGTGGATAGGGACTCTAATGAGGATAATGGATTAAGTGGGGTGCTGACATGGAGCCATGTCAACGGCACCAGCAGGCTCAGAGATATGTTATTCTGTTGAAAACTTACTTTTGAGTCTGAAAGTGCCATGATCCAGGAATCGAGTGGTATCTATGTTAAAAAAAATTCCTCATTTCAGCCCCAATCATGGTGATGAAACTGCAAGTTTTTTTGTTTTTTTTTCAAAATTCTAAAATTAAATGGAGAAGAAAAGAAATTATATTAGTCTGAGAGTGCAATTTTCGACTATCTAGAGGTGCCATAATCATAAATTTTCTTACCTCAGCCCAACTGTGGTGGGGCTGAGGTGCTATTTTCTCCTATCTGTGAAAGTTTTTCCCTGGCCCCATCTGTTTCAACTCCACCACTATATAAGAAAACTAGTGGAGCTTACATAGAAAAAAAAAATGGAAGTACACAATTTATGTCAACCCACCGCTGGTCTCAACAGATTGGAACTGGCCACCAGCTTAAAAAGGTTGAACACCTGGGGCTTAGTGCAACAGTTCCTAAGCAAATGTTGCTATAACAATTTCATTAACAGTATTTGCAAATGTTGGACATCAGATTACTTTAACAGCAGTTAGTAAGCAACATTTAATAGTCTATTTCGTGAATACTTACCTGGATAAACCGACTAATTGCCATTGTTCCCAAACGGAACACCCTTCGAAATAAATGGAACAGTCCGACCCAGGGCGCCACGTGCGAACCAACTCCCTAACAAACGTCCTCATTCCCTTTTCGACCTTCGTTGGAAAGTGAACCTCCTTCAGAGTGCTCAATCATAGAGTTGTTCCACGTGTTATCGTGTTCTGTACTGCGATAAGGATTTTTAGCCTCGGAGTTTATTTTCAAGAAGTTTTTCGATTCTGGATTTTACTTTTCTGCTTTGGATTTTATTTTCAAGAAGTTGCTGGATTCTGGAATTTTATTTTTCTGCCTTGGATTTTGTTCAAGAAGTTGATAATACGACATATCCTTTTTTTTTTTTTGTAGCTCTTGGTAGTCTCTTCCGCAAGTCGTTGTGCTCGGCGTGTGGGGGGGGTCCCTTTGTGTCGTTCGTGTAGCCAGACGGAGCCTTGCGAGGTTTGCGCATGCTGGCCCCCTACTAAGTTTGCGGCGGCTCTTGATTGGGCAGCTCAGGCTGCCTCTCTTTCTCAGAGTTCGTAGCCGGATGTGTCAGGGGTTGTTGCGGCGTCGGTCGATTCTCCCCCACCGTTGGAGAGTCCGTCGGCCTCGTCAGGTCCCTCGCATTTTGCACCGCTGGACCTGGCTTTGGTTTCCTTGATTTCAGAGCAGGTGGACCGTGTTGCTAGGGAGGTTTTTGCCGGGATGAAGGTCGCTTCGGCTGTGCCTGTCCCGTCCATTCATCCGGTCTCTGACCCTCCTGTCCCTGGGGAAGGGGTTCGGGTGGGTGGCGAGTCGCCTATGGACGATTCGTCCGAGCCAGATTCGGAGGCTGAGGATGTTATTCTCGACTCTAATCTTTCTGAGCTCGTGGCCCGGGCGATGCCGCCCATTCTTGACCATTTAGGTGTCTCTTTTGAGACTCTTTCCCGGGGTGGTTTGGGGGCGGGCCTGTGGGGGCCGCCAGCTCCTGCGCGTCCCGCTCATCCTGTCCCGGTCGTGGGTCTCCACCCGGACCTTATTCTCCGCTTGAATTTGCAAGTGAAATCTAAGCCGGTTGCCGCGCCGCGGCGCCTTATGGCCACTTTTCCTGTCCCTGAGGACCATTTTAAGCAGTTCATTCAGGCACCGCCCATTCCTCACGCTGCCAAGGGCAGATTGCGAGAAGACCAGAAGCTCTCTTCAGCTCCTAAGACTTTGTTTTCGAACAAAGCACATGGTGCGGCCGAGGAGGCTTTGTCCTTTGTGGACCGCGCGGCACGGGAGGGCATTTGCGCCGTGAATGGGGCTGGCTGTGCTCTGTCCTTTTTGTCTGATGCCGACGCGAATCCAACTCTGGTCCCTGACGCCATTGCTCTCCTTCGGGAGGGTGTTGGCCTTATTTCTGACCAGTTGTGTGCCATTGCCCAGGCTGCCGGGGCCGCCCGGAGGGCTAATGTTCTCCGGGCTACTTCGGTCAGTCCCGGTCACTTTGACCGGTTTTTAGACTGCCCCTCTTTTGGGGCAGAGGATCTCTTCTTTCGCCAGTTTGCTGCTAAAGAAGAGGCCATGGCTAGGGAGTTGGAAACGCGGCGTCAGACAGGGGCTAAGCTCCCGCGGCCTGATCGTCAGTCGGCTCGCTCCCAGTGCTGGGCGTACGCGAGACGCCAGCCTCAGCAGTAGCCTCAGTCTCGCGAGGTTGAACACCTGGGGTTTAGTGCAACAGTTCCTAAGCAAATGTTGCAATAACAATTTCATTTAACAGTATTTGCAAATGTTGGACATCAGATTACTTTAACAGCAGTTAGTAAGTAACAGTTAATTAATTTAAATCAGTTTCCTAGCAACAGATCGTATGTTCATGATTTTTAAAAGGACATAATTATCAACTGTCAACTTAAAAATTGTAAGGTATTTGCTTTCATTTTGATTAGGTATTTGAGGCAGGAGGAAAGTGGAATGTCAATCATGGAAGTTGGTATTCCATCAGGATTTGATGTGAACGAGGATAAATTGAAAGAGGAGCTCTTAATTGTTGGTCCTCTGCAACAGTACGAGTTGCAAGCAAGACATGTCAACCTTTATCTGGACCAGGTAACAGCATTTTTTATTTGTTTATTTATACAACAGTTCTTTTAAGATACGAAGCGCTTCTGTCCCTTTTCATTGGGTCCACATGCGTAAGTGTTGCTACATAATCAGCGCAGGAGTGGTAACCTCACCAGATACACATTTTGGACACAAGCTAAGTTTTAAAAGCCTGACCACAAGCTTTGAGTTTCTTCAAATTACTCACGCTCCCCCAGTCGCTTCCCCCCCCCCCCAATAAAAATCACTTGCAGGCTAGTAGTTAAAATCTCCTAAAATCACCTTATCCCTGGCAAATCATCATCGAGCCCCCACTTCACCTTCGCGCACCCCTCCCCCATCAGCACCCCCATTTCAAGACTTCTAGATAAGCCACTGATTATAGTATGTGTCAACTAATGCCAACAGCAAACATAAACTATCTTTATTTTCTTTAAGCATAACCAAAATACCAAGAATTTTTTTTTTTTTTTTTTTTTTTAAAGGGGAAAACTGGGGTGGGGGGAAAGAATATTATCTGGGGATTCTCCCTCCCCCCCCCCCCACTGGTGCCGCCACTGGTCACAAGGACTAATTTAAAAAGATTTTAGGCGACGCCCGACCACGCGCACTTTGCTCTTGTCGGAGATATTGAACACAGCGTCGGGCAAATCCTGGCGCCACCACTCATAATGGTAGGCCCTAGCCCTGTCTCTTATACACATCTAGATGTGTATAAGAGACAGATCTTACAGAGTGCATGCCTTACAGAAGAAGGGTACCTCGCACATTGCACTGTGGCTGGGATACGATCAATCCATTCCTGCTTATCCAACCACGGAGGTAACCTCTGGCCTTAATCAAACATGGTGTTGTTCGTTCGTCTTATCAATGATCGCTCAATCATAGTCCAGGAGAGTCGGATTTTTTTACTAGTTATCAGCTCAGTCTCAGCAGTTTCTAGGCATTTCTACGCAATCTGCATGATGTTTTGGAAATTAATATCTGTTATTGTGCTTGTCCTTGCTGTTGGTACTACTTTGTTGCTGAATGGCGCCTTTCATGAATCCCCAGAAGCCCCTGCATACGGAGATGGCTGGTGGGGTAAGGGCGAGAAACCAACAACGCCGCCAGATGAGTCAATATCGCCATTTAAAATCAAGTTTGATGAGTCTGCACTCAGTGACTTGAAGTCAAGAATTAGGAATGCTCGATTTGCCGAAGGGTTGGAAGACAGCCAATTCCACTAC